TTTTTATTAATATTGTTAATTTATTTGGTACCTACTATAATTACCACGATTATTACTCCGTTTTCATAAGGCCCACCTAATGACTACAACGATTAGGTAAATTACGATATTGCAAAGTTTTAATGAAATAAATAAAAAATGTGTATGAATATTTTAACTAATTGTACTAAGAATTTTTCTTTCATTCTTAACCCTCTCAAAAATTAATAAGCACGCCCCCGATTTGCTGTCAACTGGGCTTACTTCTACTCTCAATCATTATTGGTTTTAGTATACAAACTGTAAGTTCTGTGGTATTTAATTTTGAATAGAACGCATGCGCGAACTGATTGCGTCAGATATACAAGCTTAGCGGAATATGAAGCAATGTAGAGGAATTTTGGTTCATGGGAAGCGACTTTATAGTACATCTTGTTGGCAACACTGGACCGCTGGTGTGACTTGCAGAAGCAAGGTGTGCAATGTTTGGTTAGCAGAGATGCCAGTCATGATTAGTATCTAAGTTTATGGAAGCCTTACAAGAACTTTTGGCAAATTACTAACTCCCCTCTCCACTTGAGTTATTCCTTTTCCACCTGACTGACTGAATAAGGCTGGAATTCATTTTCTACTTCAGGACTATGAAAATCATACATTTTTGTAGGCATCAATGAGCCCCTAAAAATTCATTATCATTTCATTATCCAAAGTAAAATTGGTTGTATAAAAAATATGCAATAAAATCATTTTTGGAGCAGGTAAATCTAATGTAGTTGTAAAGAACCATCCTCAAAATTAGTTGTGAGACCCAATTATTTTTCCACCATTAAAATTCCTTTTCTTTAACATTTCTCCCTCTTTGGAGCGTATCTAGTATTCAAAATGAATTTGGAGTAGCAAATGCACGTTTTAGATTCACTGCAAGTACTTCAAATGATTCTTTTTTTTATTGGACTTTTTTCAGGTTCCCGCCAACAGCACTTCCAAATCGAAAGCAAAATCAATCTCACCGAAAAATGCCGGTACTGAAAGTACGATAAAATTTTCTCTAACGCCATCTGTAGACATATCTCCAGTGAAATATAAATCCGAAAACTCATCTTCTGTAATGGCGAAAACAAAACACAAAGAAAAACGTCACTTGGAAAAATCACCTGCTGCTAAAAGTACAAAACATCCTGAAAAGTCTCATAAAGAAAGTAGGCATAGGGATCAGACAGGAAGTACACGAATTGAAGGAACGAAGACTGACCAGCATTTGAAAAGAGTGGACACCTCGAAATCGGAGGAAACTAAACACAGTTCGTCATCGAAAAGTTCGCGAGTTGATAGTTTGAAACCAATGTCCAACAAAGTTATAAAAACTTTAAAATTTCCAGTAGAAAACAATAATGAATCTGCCGTTACTACAATGGTCAAAAAACCAGATCCACCACAAAGGAAACAGTCTTCTGATGACGATGTTATTTGCATCGATTAGTGATTTTGGGTGATAAAGTTTATTTATTTTTATTATTATTAAGAGTATTCTCATTTTATTTTCTGTTGCCTCACTTGTGGCGATCGGTCTACAGATGAAATGTTTGATAAATAAAAAACTATTTGATTACTAACCTGTTTTATTCAGTTAGTGCACAAGGAAATCAAAATTTATGATAACTCATCTACAAAATGAAAAACTTTTCCGGATTGACATGAAGCGGAATAACTGAATACACTTCATTCAATATACACGGCATTTCTTTAACGTCCTACCCACCCCTTTTATTTTTTGAACGGGTCGACTCAAAAAATTGAAATTTAGGTTAATGAAATTAATGCATGAATACTTTATTTTGAAGTGAAATTGATAGATGAAATTTTCAAGATGGCGACTGGGCGCCATCTGGGAAAAACTCAAATGGAGAGAAGGGTCTTGTGACACATCATTTTGAAGCTCCTGACGAATACTTCACAACCCTAGAATATGGAGTCAATATATTCACCAACTACAAAATGATAGAACATTTTATACAGAAAAACTCTATTCTGAAACTAATCTGCTTGATATAAGAAGTTTGTATGCACACCAGTGTCTTATGGATATACTCAAACAATATCAATTATTCTAAGGCAAATACAAAGTACACCAGAAATGTACATAATTTATCCATTGATATACCCCTTTACAAAAAAAGTCATACCCAACGTTCAGTCTACTATTTCGCTCCAAAACTGTATAACATACGTATTCCAAAAACACTTTATTGTGAGATCAAACAAATCGCGATTAATAACGGTTATAAGGTAGATATTGTAAGCTCCATTCTTTCCAAAAAACGACAAAAGCAAGCCATGGATCTGGTCTACCCATATTCAAGATGCGATAACGTTAGTTATAAGACATTGACATATGTGGGGGAACCAAACAGAAATATTGCCCGTTTTTTGAAGAAAGAAGGCGTAAACGTAGCTTATAGAACGAATAATAACCCAAGTAAATTTATTAAAAACAAAGAACAAACTTTGGTGTCGGATAGATCAGGAGTATATAAACTGACTTGTGGCTCTTGTCCAAAACTGTATATTGGCCAAACAGGAAGAACATTTTTCCAACGAATTAAAGAACATAGGAGTAGTTTTGTAAATAGAAAAGACCAATTCCACATTTGCAAACCATCTTTTAGCAGAAGGACATGAGTTCAATCATGAGTACGAGGTGTTACATTTAGAAGAGAAGAGTTTGAAACTTAATCTTCTACAATGTTTAGAAATCAATAGATTCAGGAATTCGGGTAATTTACTGAATGATCAATTAGAACTCAATAACTCTCCGTTACTGAATATATTTTTTCAAATGTGAAAATGGAACATAAGTGCAGGTAATTTAATTCGTTAGAAACTCAGGTAAAATATCAGCTACTTAAAATTCAGGTACTTCGTTTACAGGTACTTTGATTTCAGGTACTCCATAAACTATATATATATATATTTAGTATTGAATGTGTAGAATTAGTTGAAAGACACGCCAGATGAAGCCATTGTATGGCGAAACACGTGTTGCGTTTTTGTAAAACAATTTAGTGAAAATCTCACAGTAAAGTGTTTTTGGAATACGTTAGTTATGGATTTTCATCAAGTATCGGCCGATTCCATCATATAACTGTATAACATGCTTCCCCTTGAAATAAAGATAAATACCACATTTTTAAAGTATAAAAAAAATACAAAAGAATTCATAATTGTAAATAATACCCGTATAAACAGTTTATTCAAACATACCCAATAACCCAGAAATATCACTCAGTACATTTTCTAATCTTCCAATGTGTCTTTCAGTGTATGTGTACCTATTGCCAATATTATATAAACCTAGATGTATAGATAATTATAGGTACTTATTCTCATAAAATATACCAGCTTCCTCTGTCTATTCACTAATACAACTGCAACAGTTATTTAATCTTTTGTTACTTTTGTGCCTGATATATTTTTAAAGTACTTCCACGGGGAAACAGACGGAAGCACATTACAAGCCACCTGCGCTTAGGCTGCTTTCCTCAAACTCCTAGTGGGCCCAACCATAATATTAATAAATTGTATATTAACATATTCCAAATAAATTGAATTGAAATTGAATTGAATTGAATTTCCTGAAAACGACAAAAAATGTTAGTACGACAATGAACATCATTGTTCAGTTAGAATATTCTCATTTAGTTTTCGGTTTAACTAGTAGAAAGGTACCACGTCATCAATCTCTAAAATGGTCAATTCTCGTCGATGGGAAGAAAAAATTGAAGCGATTTTTATTTACGGTGCCACGCGTAACTTTCACGAGACCGAAAGATTTTCAATGAACGTTTTCCGAATCGTCGTATCTGTAGAAAATATTTGAGGGAACTTGTATCCAAATTCATCATCCGTAAATTCCGGAAGAACAGCAAGTGCAAATAATTGGTGAGATGGTACTAAATCCTGAACAGTCTACTTATTCTGTCGCGGATGTTTGTGAGGTGTCTCCTTCTACTGTGTGTAGACTTTTGAAAAGGAATAGGTATCATCCATACAAAATTAAAATGGTATACCAATTAACTGAAGATGACCCTGATCGAAGAACAGAATTCTGCGAAATCATGACGGAAACCATTGCAAGGCATCCTACCTTCACAATATTTGTTTTAGTGACGAATGTAAATTTTTTAAACGGCAATGTTCACAGATAAAATTGCCATTATTGGAGTGACACCAACCCTCACGTTTTCCGGGAAACACATACCCAATATCCAGAAAAAATCAACGTTTGGGCAGGAATATTAGTAAACCATATTGTAGGACCTCTATTTATTGATCAAAATTCAACAGGGTAACTGTATTTGAATATGCTGGAAACTACTGTTGACCCTTTCATCACTGAAATCGTCGAAGCGAATTCTAATGAATTCTATATGGATATTGTATTCCAACAAGATGGAGCACCACCACATTACTCCAGACATGTAAGAAACTATTTGGGTACTACTTTTTCCGGACGTTGGATTGGCCGTCGAGGTCCTACAGAATGGCCAGTTCGCTAGCCAGATTTGACACCTTTGGGCTTTTTTTATGGGGCCAGTTGAAGCAAAAGGTGTACGACACTGTACCTGCTTCAGTATTGAATATCCGGCAGAGAATAATAAATATTTGTAGAGATATTGACGTTACTGTGTTCGAAAATGTTCGACGTGAAATATCGGATAGATTGTTCATATGTCAAGAAGTTCAAGGCAACCATTTCGAGCATCTTCTGAACTGACCTCAAGCTTATTACCTCATATTATGTAGTTGAATGTCAATGTATTTAGGCAATTATCAAAAGTTCCGCCATTTTGTAGTAGTTGAAGATATTGACATTATATTCTAGGGTTGTGAAGCATTTGTCAGGAGCTTCAAAAAGATGTGTTACAAGACCCCCTTTCTATTAATTTTTTTCCCAGATGGCGCCCAGTCGCCATCTTGAAAGTTTCATCTATCAATTTCACTTCAAAATGAAGTATTCATGCATTAACTTCATTATCCCAAATTTCAATTTTTTGAGTTGACCCCTTCAAAAAATAAAAGAAGGGGCCTTAAAGAAATGCACTGTATGGGGTAGGTTCAGAGAGTTTTCGAGTCAGCGGAAACTCATGACAACCCATTAGTTAGGGAAGCTGTAGGTTACACTATAGACGACCTCACTCGATTCAGAAGGCCCTGTCGCTCGGTTGAGTGAAGGCCCCACGACGTCTGTTAAAATGAACAGTTTGTTCACCAAATACCCCAGTCAGGAAGAGGTAACACAAGGCCAGAGCGGCATAGAGGTCATTGATCTTTATGTCGCCACCAAAACACCTTTACGTTATGAACCATTCGTCCTCCTGACGAATCTCGGTTGAAAGGGTAAGGGAAAAAATTTCCAACCTTATGAAAATGAAGATGACTATGATACTAGTCTCCCTGTATACATCTCAGAAATAATATGGAAAAAAAAGAGAATAGAAACTTTATATGTTTTTGCCACTTTTATTTGTAACTAAAGCAGAAGTTACAGAGTTGCACCTATCCGATCACAAAGCACAATCGGTTGAATTCACAAATATTTTGGAAAGGGTGAATATCACTAGTAAATTAATTTTCAACAAAAACAATGAAAATAAGCCATTATTTAAAAATTTTCTTTCTGCAAATAATTGGATTGCTTTAGATGAAATAACAGATTCCAATGAGCGCATTGAAACGTTTCTGAATATTTTCCAATATTACCACGAAATGAGCTTTTCGTTAATCAAGGTGAAGGGTGATAATTACCGGAGAAATAAAGAAACTATAGTCGATGTTAGCAGTATAAAAGCCAAGACAGAAATTACCTAAACCATTTAATAGAGTTGAAATTACCAAATAATGAAGAATTATTATTTAACAGGTAACAAATTTTAGTATGTAAGGATTAACCAGACTAGACTAGGTATCAATTTTCTTCTCCTGAGGATGCTAACTTTGTTGGCGAAACGCGCGTCAAGTGATTATAAACTGAGTAGAGAAAAGTATCTTCTGTGTAATTCAGTGTTTATATAGAAGTATTTGTTTCGAAAGAATTTTTTCTTTCGTATAATTCAATATTTATATGAAAGTAGCTGTTTCAGTAGGACTTTCTTCCAGTTTGTGTCTGAAAGTTACTTCTTTGCATGATCTAGACATCCATGTATAGAGTTACTTATTTTCAAATTGATTACTTCCTTCCTTTCTTTGGAAGACTCCCACATCTTTTTTTGTATCAAGACGGAGTAGTAGAAAGCCAAAAACTTTCTTTCCCAATGAGTGGTGTTTTAAAAACAGACTAATCGTTACTACAAATGAGACACTTTGTATTGAATTTGCATATTCGTCTCGGAGTCTACATAACTTCACTTTCAATTTTCTGAAGGCCACGTCCAAGCATTACCTTTAAAAAACCGAGCGATATTATTGGTGGCTTCATCAAGATATGACAATGACCTGTAACGGACACTATCGTCACTTGAAGTTGGGTAGATCTGGTCTATGGCTTGTTTTCGAGGTTATTTTAAAAGAATTGAGTCGATAATATCTAACTTGAAACTGTTTTTGACAGCAATTTGTTTGATGAAATCAGATCCCCCTGAAAATCACTTCACGACAGTGGAATATTCAATGGTCTGCAAAAATATGCCTTCGATGCTTCACAGATAACATTTGATTTAGTTTTAATGTAGCAAATACTCATTTGACTATTTCAGAATTAATGATTCCCATAACGCAAAAATTGCACCATATGCCTGAGGGATACAGTTCTACTGTCTATCCAAATACAAGATAGAGTAAAACAAAACAAAACCGAAGCGTGATGTTCACGTGATCGCCCAGTGTCAGATGGAAAGGGCAGCGTTCATTGGTGAATTCGCCTTCTTGGTACGAGTTCGGTACGTTATAGTATATTGTTTAAAATTGTTTTCCAAGATGTCCAGTACAGACACTGCTGATGACACTGTGAGCTATCCTCTGAGTCCAGCCAGGAAACGATCCAGAAAAAGACATTTGAGTGTTGAGAATAAATAAGTGATTTTAAATGTGTTCAAGAAAGAGATGGAAGAAATTGAGACATCGACTGTCGACGAAGTCGTATCGAAAGTTTTCGATAAAATTGGAGTGTGTTGCGCTTCAATTTATAATGTTTTACGGGAATATAAACAAAATCATACATTTTCCAAACCGAATACAAATCAGAATCGTCAAACCATTATAAAATCAATAGATGATGCTGATAAACATGCAATCAGGAGGAAAG